TGTATTGTTGATGTCATGTAAAATTCAGCTGATCTGTGAAAATTCACATCACATGATGTAGTACTGAAATTGTTTCTGTTTTCAGAGAAATATATGTAAAAAGATCCAAGCAATGGTAAAATAAGTCAAAATTAGTAGAAAGACAGATTAGTTTTTGTTTTCCAGGTTCAGAACACTAAATCATTTATTTTCCCGCAAATATACTAATTACCATAAAATCTATATTAGAAGCCACATCCCTTATAGAAGTCACATCCATTCTTTTCAACAAATGTGTTGATGCTCTAATAGAAGCCACATCATCTCTGTTGCATTGTACCATTTTAATGTACCAACTAAAAATAAACTCACCACTAATATATGAAGCACCCCTCTACAACTATAATGGTATCAACCATGCTAATCTGTGACAATCTGTTGTGTAGCACATGTTTGTCGTCAAATGAACAAATCATTTGCATAGTGTGGATTCATTTGGTTTTATTTATGCCACGTCAGTTGCAACCCTGTCTATTGTCTGGTGCATTTCTCTCCATCCATAATTACCCTGTTGGCAGTGAGTTGCATTTTGTTCAATTTTATTTTCCCTCATTTAATATTGTTGTTCTGGTCCATATGTCAGTATCAACTATAATTGATTTCTGATATTTTGCACTTGATTTCTGATTTTTTGCATTTTTAATTGCTGTACATTTTTGTTATTTTTTCATATCACAGTTGTGTGGTGTTAGAATTATTGATTTAGAAATTTTCTTGGACATTTCTGTGATTAACAAAATGCATATTTTGTCCTAACAGGATTATATGAAATACACACTTTGTTATATTACATATAGTTTATTCCGTATCTGAACAGGTCATTTCAAATTTGACTATTTCATTCAATGTTACAGCAAAAAATTGTATCTATTCGTGAATAATCTTTGTTGATATTGGTGAAAAAGTTCATAAAAAGGGATTTAAAAATTGTTGGCTAAAAATATGACTGCATCATGGATGGAATTGAATAGTTATTTTTCCAGACCTGAACTTTGACCCAGGTTAAATGTGATTTGCATAATGAACTGAAAATGTTGAAAACTGTTTTAAAAAATGAAGTGAGTTCTGAATATCAACTGAAATGAAACACAACAGTGTAAAATACACATTTTGTTTATACCAGTGGTGATATGTATTCCAACAATTAATATACCCGGTAGATTCCATATACATGTATGTGTGTACTAGGCTCATCATTTGCATATTGTTGCTATAAATTTTGATTTTAATTTATGCTAATTATATATTTGCAGTCAATAGCTCCAATGTGCAACAATATCCACCAATTAAAAAAAAACCTGTGTGCATCTAATTAGTCTTTTTAACCTTGTATGTAGATTATTTGCAAAAATACAAAAAATGTTTTACCATGACAGGTAGCAACATGTGACCAAGTAATTAAATTGAGCTTTATATCATTATAAATTTACCAATGAAATAAACTAATCATAAATCATCATCAAATTTACTTTGCAACATTGCAATATCCTGGAAACTGTACCAGCGGTGCTTGATTTGACTTCTAAAATTTCAATCCCCAAAAGCTGGATGGTCACAATCATTCTTATATGTGATTTATGAATTTGAACTTAAGCCAGATTGTGAACAAAATATATTCATGAAATATGAAGACTAAATTTAAATACAGTGAATGAATATTTGATCACAAGCATACTACTGTAAACTACTTTATTTTCGCTTGGAATTTTTGCTTTTTTTGCTGAAGGAATGATGCAGTGAAAATAAAATCCAGTGAATATACCCTTTTTCCTATATTTTACATTCAACTTGTCAAAATCAGTGAAAATAAATTCCATACAAAACACCCAAAAAATCTTTTCAGTGAAAATTGATTCCAGCTAAAATAAAGTATTTTACAGTATTTCACAGTATCTCATTTCAAATTCTCCCATCAAATATTCTGGGACTTTCAATATGCAAATGAAGTCAGGTGGCAAAATATTTTGCGTGGGAGATTGCAGTTTTCCTAATTATTTTATTTGGGTTTCAACTGTAAATAAAAAAATATTTGATGATATGCAATTTTTTTTCCTTTTTTCAGTTTCATCATCAACAAGAGAGCCCTATCACTCGTGGTGATAAACTTGGAAATTTAACTGCAGTCAGCGGAGTCATCAGTTTGCCAAAGCTTCTCAAGGCAACTGGTAGCCAGGGTGTAAATCATAGCAACGAAGAAAAAGAGCTAGCTCTCAATAAACAAGCTGAGAGGGAGAAGAGAAAACTTGAAGCCAAAAGGAAAGCTGAGGAAAAGCGTCTGGAGCGAGAGAAGAGAAAGCAAGAGCAGCATCAAAGAGGTAGTGTTGGATGTGTCATGTGTGTTGTGATTGGGTGGTAGCCAAAGTGCTGGATGTGTCATGTATGCTGATTGGGTGGTAGCCAAAGTGTTGGATGTGTCATGTGTGTTGTGATTGGGGGGTAGCCAAAGTGCTGGATGTGTCATGTATGCTGATTGGGTGGTAGCCAAAGTGCTGGATGTGTCATGTGTGTTATGATTGGGGGTAGCCAAAGTGCTGGATGTGTCATGTATGCTGATTGGGTGGTAGCCAAAGTGCTGGATGTGTCATGTATGCTGATTGGGTGGTAGCTAAAGTGCTGGATGTGTCATGTATGCTGATTGGGTGGTAGCCAAAGTGCTGGATGTGTCATGTATGCTGATTGGGTGGTAGCCAAAGTGCTGGATGTGTCATGTGTGTTATGATTGGGGGGTAGCCAAAGTGCTGGATGTGTCATGTATGCTGATTGGGGGGTAGCCAAAGTGCTGGATGTGTCATGTATGCTGATTGGGGGGTAGCCAAAGTGCTGGATGTGTCATGTATGCTGATTGGGTGGTAGCTAAAGTGCTGGATGTGTCATGTATGCTGATTGGGTGGTAGCCAAAGTGTTGGATGTGTCATGTGTGTTGTGATTGGGTGGTAGCCAAAGTGCTGGATGTGTCATGTATGCTGATTGGGTGGTAGCCAAAGTGTTGGATGTGTCATGTGTGTTGTGATTGGGTGGTAGCCAAAGTGCTGGATGTGTCATGTATGCTGATTGGGTGGTAGCTAAAGTGCTGGATGTGTCATGTATGCTGATTGGGGGGTAGCCAAAGTGCTGGATGTGTCATGTATGCTGATTGGGTGGTAGCCAAAGTGTTGGATGTGTCATGTATGCTGATTGGGTGGTAGCCAAGTGTTGGATGTGTCATGTGTGTTGTGGTTGGGTGGTAGCCAAAGTGCTGGATGTGTCATGTATGC